GGGCAAATGCACGAGTGCGCGTATGCATGCGCGTGTGTCCATGTGTCTTCGCGCGCGCGTACGCGCGCGTGTGTGTGTGTGCGTGTGTGCGTGCGTGTGCGTGCGCGCGCGCTCTTGTGCGCTTGTATATATTTATGTGCGCACACTTATGTAGAAACTGTAATATTTATTAATACAATTCTAGGATTATATGTGCAAACTTTGCATTGAGCTGTAATGAAAATTACAAACAAAACTATAACTGGATGTATAAACTTTACGTATTTACAGACACCGCCATACTATCGGAGTGTCAACAATATTACGAGTACGATGAAAATAAAATAATTTAAATGAAAATAATCATTAATATTTATCGTAAGAGGTTCTATTGAAATTGAAAATTTCACTACGATCAGGTGTGAATTGACTGTTCATCTTACTCTTCAGTTTTATAATTAATTGCAATTGTAAAGCAAATAATACTTATATAAATGAGATAATAAAATGAGATTTCACTAATTGGTCATCTTTTAAACTCTACGATCTTATCCTGCCTTGTTAATAAATGTTAACAATAAGTAGAAACTTATTTATTATTCAGCATTAAATTAAAAGATCTCATTTTAAATTAATAATTGTTTTACATTATATCTATTACATTTCGATTGAAAATAAACTGCCATCAAATTACGAGTAAAATTGAAAATTTAAATTATTGCATAAAAATAGAACGTACAGTATTTTATAAATAGTTTTAATTACTTTTCTAATCAAGAGCGATAAATAGAACTATACACGTTTAAAAACTAGATCGCAAATATATTTCTTAATACCATTATTGCTTACTACATTACTATTATTATTTTATAGTATATATAGCTTATGACTTTATACATGAAAAAAAATTCTAAAATTGAAGTTCATTTCAGTATATAATTTACACGTCATTTGCATTTAAATATTTTTTAGGATCTTGGAATATTTAGTATACCTACATCATATTTTATTCGAATTTTTCTTACATTCGTGTTTTTAAAATTACTCTTGCCAACGTATTTAATTACAAAATTATAAATTGAAGACTATTTATCTAACTTTTATTAAGGTTATTAAATGTATGTATAAAATATCCCCCCCCCCTCCTCCTCCTCCCCTCCTCCTCACCATTCATATTACTGTACATATTACCTATTAATATTATAATTTACACCCATACACGTTGGAGAATTAAGAAACTGCAATTGATATGTAAGTGACATGGCGAAAAGCCATATGATCGCAATGTACTTAAAATTTTTCATTACTACGACTTGTTTGATAAACTAAAAAAAAATTTTATTCAACCTTTATTTAGATACACAGTCATGGCACCCGTTAAAGAAGAACTATTTAGTACAGTGGCTGAGCCAGTAGCCACAGGTCGCAATAAAATTACGATTGTCGGCGTTGGACAGGTTGGAATGGCGTGTGCTGTCAGCATTTTAACAAGCGTAAGCTATTGAATTGTTTTCTAACGAAAACATTGATAAAGCTATGTAATAATAGCTTTTGATAATCATTTTTTATTAAGGTCCATATTTATTTGAATTATTTGGGAGCAAGTGGTAAAAGACAATATTTCAACTTAATATTGTGCCCAGATACTATTAATTTACGTAAAATAGATAAAATTAAGGGCAATTTTATATCGTAATAAATATCAGTCTATATTTGCTCGATGTAGGATATTTTAAAGAGAAATTTCAATCGTAATTACGGCTTTTATTTCACGTTAATATATAATTGCAGAATATTTGCATAAACAGGTAGAATAACGAGTTTAGCATCATTATTTAACAACATAAAAATATTGCAAACATTATAAATATTATCATACGTATTTTCAATTGAAAGACCAATTAAAGAGACATATAATGTATTAACATTATATATTCTTACTTATTAAAAAAACTTAACTCATTTGTAATTCTTTGACATTTGACATCTACAACTTATTTATATATTTTTTGAAGTTTTCGGCAAATATACCCCACTAGCTCAAACAAATATTTTTTAAAAATTAATTATTCGCTTATTTATTGTCACATATTTTTAAATTTTATCGTACATTTCTCGAAAGTGCACACATTTAATTATTTTAAAATCTTGTAATAGATGTCGATTAATTATTAATTAGATAATGTGACTGTCTATTTAAAATATCATGGGCACTGAATAAATTTTTCTATAATCAATGCAATCCATATAATGTAAATCAATAGACAAAAAACATATTTTGTAATATTAGCAATATATTATTTCAAATTTTATCATATACAAATGCAGTTAAGTCTAAAAATTGTCGAGAAAAACCAAAATCGTACTAAATTATTTAATGTTTCTTTAATTTTTCAATCACAAAACCATTAGTTCTCAAAACATTATTTCGCCTTTGTTTATGAACTTAATTTTCTTACAATGTATTTGACTATTAAATCGTATACAATCTTAATCTCGACTTAATAATCATTAAAATTAACTTGATGCCTCTCGTATAAAATTGTTTAATATTCAGATAATTGTATTATTTAATCATTTTTGTCTTTTGATTAAACCTTATATTTAATAATTGTTAATAATGAACAATATTTTATAGAATATTTAAGGATCTTTAAATTCTATGATTTTCATGACTTACCAATAGATTATTAATATAAATATTTATGCCAATAATATTGTTATTTAGCGTTAAAATTAAATTAAATTTAACTATACTTTTACCAAGTCCTTGGTACAACTCTTGTTAAAATTTAAATTTTAAATAATTTATTTTAAGATTCCATCGATTAATTTGGTAATTAAATATGTTTTTTTTTCAGCAACGAATCTTATAAAATTATAAGTAAAAGTATAAAATAAGAATTATTCTAAAATCTAACAATGATTTAGAATCTTATTCGTTATAAATTTTTACAAATTAGTTACTTTATAGACATTACAGATTATCTAACTATCTTTTGCAAACTATCAAACTAAAATTTCAAAAAAGTCAAGAATGTTAATTTAATTAAAAATATTTATCGTAAATTTTTATGTATTTTTTATAATTATAATTGTGCTAACATAATATTATTACTAATAAAATGGAAGTTTAATTTTAATAAAAACTGAAACTATTAGTAGAATAATACTATTAAATGAAAAATAATATTTTCAGCAAGTAAATGTTTTGTGGTACATTTGAAAACTTGTATATTAGACATATTTTTTAGCCCTTTTGTGTCTGTGTCCGCGCATGTATCTGTTTACATATCTAATAATATATATATATATATATATATATATATTATGTAATATTCTTCAATATGTAGAAAAAAAGAAGCAGGCTTTATTAAAATATATTGAGCATATAATATCGTACTTTATGAAAATATAAGAAATACTTTCATTGGGCCATCAGATAACTCGCATCGAATAATTTCAATATAATAGTTATTAAATTAATACTTAATTTAAGAAGTTGTGTCAGCAGCAAAAGAAAGTGCTCGTAACATTTGGTTTTTTAGGTCTTGTACAAACATATGAAAACTATATTTACAAATACAATTTCAAACAAAAGTTAATCCATTATTTAGAGAAGATATTAAAAAAGTATTCGTTTACCGTTTAAAAATTTTTAAGTAAATAAATGTTAATATAAATTTATACTTTAAAGACATTAATTTAATGAAAGGTAATTCTACTTGGGCTTCAAAGTTGATGAAAGTTGATGAAATATTTTCAATGCCTTTCTCACTAACTGCAAAATATTTTGATGAATTTTTCAAAATAAAAAGTAATATAATTTCTGAATGTATCACGCAATGGAAAATAAATATCTATAACAACGTATTATTATAATTCAATATTAAAATCAGTATGTTAATAAATTTTTACTATGATGAGATTTACATTAATTTGATTAATAAAGCCAACTAAGCACAAACATTTGAAATAAAATTATTAATCGGAATAATTAATAACTAATTCTTTTTAAATTTCGAAAAAACTCTATTCTAATACAATTGAATTTTATGGATCTATGATGAATTATTTGTATTAACATATAAGGAAGAATATAATAACGAATAATTTATTAATTGTATCGTATAAATGATCGAAAAATATAATAGGAAATCAATAACCAATGTATTTTTATTGTATTTGTTAAATATAAAAAATTAACAATATTTGATGTCTTATTAACTAAATCCACTAGTTTATTTAATACATATTCTGTTCTCCTTATCATAATTATTATTTTTATGATATCATTTATTATCATTTGCTTTCCAAATCTTTTTTATCTTGTGCACATTAATTTCATATTAGACCATTACTCTTAAGACATTGTGGTAGTTATAATCACATTGCACGAGTCATATATTTACTCTAAATGTAATATTTTCATGATTTTTGTTTAATTTCTAGTGCGGAGTCGTCAAGTAACAATCTTATCTGAAACCAATATCAAGCAGTAAAATATCTCGTTCGTATCTTTACTTCATTCTTTTTTTTTTTTTTTTTTTTTTATTATGAAAGCTTTAAAGACTACCTTCACTAAATATTATCGCGCGCGCTTAATCTTATCTTTGGTAAATGTATTACAAACTCCTCAGTATATAATGTAAATCCAAGTTCATAAATCAAATCCACAATTACTGAGTGAGTTAGCATGCGTTGGAAATTGCACTGGAATGTCACGAGCAGCTATGATAATTCATGCTTCCTAATTGACTACCGAATCGTGATTTTATAATAAAATTGATGTATCAAAGACTCGAACAAGGATGAAAGTTTATGATTATAAAATAACGATCACTTTAATTTTACTTTTTTATGTTTGTTTTTTTTAAGTTTTGATTTATAAAAAATACATTTGGCTGGCATTTTTTCTTTTCTAATATCATTAAATTTTTAACTATAGTGTTATTAACGGATAAAATTAGTGAATAGTGACAGCATAGAAAGATTTGTAATAAACTGATTGATTATATTTTTGTAGATCATTAACACAGTTTTACGCTTGGAAAAAGAATAAGAATTTTCATGTTTTTATACGTGGATAAATATAATTATAATGTAATATGTCAAAATGTTAAATGAATCGCATATATTATAATTAAGATATATTTAAATAATTGATTATAAAATAGAAAGAATCATTTAATTAAGTATAAGTATTTTCAGTTACATCCGAATTAATTTATATTAGTTATTTCATTAATCAATATCTAAAAGCTCATAAAATTACATAATAAATAGAAATTTAATGTATTATCATAAGATTTAATTAAATGCGTCAATATTTTATACAAAGGATAATTTTTAGTCTTTTGTACGCATTTGTAAATATAATATTAAAGCTGTAAACTTTATAAATGATTCTTACAAAAAAAATAAAAAAAAAAAAAATAAAAAAAAAAAGAAAAAATACTTGTCCAGAATGAGAATCAATTTAGACTTTAAAAATTCAGAGTAAATTCGACATGTGAAAACATAAAAGATAAGGAAATTATGAGCTATGTATATAAAGAATTATGTAAAAGTACAGAGATTGGTTGATAATAAAATTAATAAATATTTATTGTTTGTAAATACATTTGTGTTCTAGTAATTTTCAAGACTTAATAAATATAAAATGCGTATTTTAAAATTATTCGAAGTGTATATTTCATAATTTTGTATGTAAGCTTTTATTTTAACATTACTTGTTAATATTATATTTCTTATATTATACATTATGGAAATTATATTATTGAAAACTAGTTTATTTTGTTAAACTAAATGTTAGTTACTTTAGATTTTAGATAATCGATTTAGATTGAAAAAATTTTCTCTACACATTATTTATTCATTGTTATTATTTTGATTTTTCATTTTTTTTTTAATCACATATAAGATACTGAATATATAAAAGAAAGCTTTCATTTTCTATAGATAGTTCTTCACCCCACAGAATGAACTTTTCTGAAAATTCTTAATTAAAAACTACCGTTTGATAAACGAATATATTTTTGGTCTATTGTTTTATATTTAAATATCTGATCGTGCTTAGATAATATTATTGAATAATATTTTATATTGTAATGAGAGTTTTTATCATAAAATTCAATTACAGTTATTATAAATTTAATTTTTAAAATTTTATAATAATCAATTGAATAATTACGATGAAATTATATTTCCAAATTTTTTGAAATGACTTATGATATATCAGCATATTAAATAAGAAATTTATGTACAATTAAATAAATATTTTACAATTCTTCGAGATCACCAATATTTATCAGTTGTTTTATTTTAATGTTAACAAGTTTTATATTTGTAGAATTAATAAATTCATAAATTTATGTAATAATATTTTATGCGGATAAATTTGTTTAAAATGATTCCCATAGAATCGCTTCTTTTTATAAAATATATATATAAAATTTGTACATAAACTATAAAATGTGCTTTAAAAAAAATTTAAAGACTACGTATAAAATAAAAAATCGGCGTATAAAATATAAAATGTGTGTTTAAAATATAAAGACTACGTATAAAATAAAAAATCGGCGTATAAAATATAAAATGTGTGTTTAAAATATAAAGACTACGTATAAAATAAAAAATCGGCGTATAAAATATAAAATGTGTATAATAAATTGTGTTAAAACTATTTTATATTGTTGTCATATCATATTTCATATTCTATTTAATGAGTATTCTTCAAACCATAAACTATTGATAAATTGATGTAAAATACAATTTTTAAACAATAGTTAAAGTTCTAATTGATATAATTTACAATTTGTTATTAATTTTAATGCCATTAAAATGAAAATCTTTTTTTCCGAACTTAAAAAGTGCCACTCGTATGATTTGCAGTTTGTATAGATGAATTACGAGGAGAGTATATGACAAGTCATTTAGTATATCATCCATCCTCTCTAAATCTAATTAATAAATTGTACGACATGTATTTCAATATTTTTAGTTCATAAATCATAACAAAAGGTTATTAAAGGAAAATCGTTTAACAAGTTAAAGATTTAGGGCCCAACATTTCCCACTGTAGTCACGTATCATCGATAATCTCTTCGAGCACGTAATTGTACAAGCTTAATTATCACTTTAGAGCATATCGAGCGACATAGTGCTGATCGACACGATGGAGGAGAAGATGAAAGGCGAAATGATGGACCTGCAGCACGGCAGTTCTTTCTTGAAAAATGCTCGAATAAGCGCAAGTACGGATTATGGGGCCTCGGCCAACTCGAGTATCTGCGTAATAACTGCGGGTGTGCGTCAACGCGAGGGTGAGACCCGATTGGATCTTGTTCAGCGTAACACCGACGTCCTGAAGCAAATCATACCCCAGCTGGTGATGTATAGTCCCAACACGATCCTTATCATCGTATCCAATCCTGTGGATGCATTGACCTACGTTGCGTGGAAGATCTCATGTCTCCCTAAAAATCGCGTTATCGGTAGTGGTACCAACCTCGATTCTGCCAGGTTCAGGTTCCTACTCTCTCAAAAACTCAACATCGCGCCAACCTCCTGCCATGGTTGGATCATCGGCGAACACGGTGACACGAGTGGTGAGACGATAATTATTTGTACATATAAAGTATACCGTCGGCAGTCTTGCCTTAGTCATTAGGTCTCTACATGTCTAATACATAAGCATTGTTATTGATGTCCATTGTACTTCTTATTGACCATATTGTTACGTAGTGCCGGTGTGGTCTGGGGTTAACGTTGCCGGGGTGAGGCTGCGTGATATAAACAAGGATGTCGGTACGGAACAGGACACGGAAGGTTGGACCGAGTTGCACAAGCAGGTCATCAACAGCGCCTACGAGATCATTAAGCTTAAAGGATACACCTCCTGGGCCATTGGCCTAAGCGTTTCGAATCTCGCTTCATCGATCTTGCGCAATTCTAATCAGGTTCATGCTGTATCGACGCTGGTTAAAGTAAGTACGCAAATCTTCAGAATAAGTACTTATTTTACTGTGATTGTCGGCGGATTTTAATAATTGGGTGAACGATCGAAGATCAATGATAGTCGTTTTTTTTTTTTTTTTTTTGTATCTGCAAATTAAAATAAATTTTATTCCATATATGTTTAATCAAAACAATATTAATGCCAATTTTATTTCATATTAAATTGATATTCTCAATTGATATTCTTTTAATAAAGTGCATGGAATATTTGTTTCAAGTTTATGCAAATTTATTTTCATATACTCATGAGCATTTCATTAAATTTGTAATGACAGGAGGGCTGTATTTATCATGAAAGTATCTAAAGAAAAAAATTTATTTTTCAGGGCTATCATGGTATTAATTACGAAGTATTTTTGTCATTGCCGTGCACACTAGGCGAAGACGGAATCGGATTTATTGTCAATCAAAAATTGACTGATAATGAATTGGAACTTTTACATAGATCCGCTAATAAAATTCATTGCATTCAAAAGGATATTAAATTGAATTAGTTTAATTCGTTTGGAATTGTATTTATTAATCAAATTAATTTTATCGTATTATGAACGAGTGCTATTTATATATGTTAAACAGTTAGTTGAATGTTTGTAACTATTAAATTCATTGATTCCTTAGCATTCAATAGTTGAGGAATTGTTATTCATAATTTTTTTTACTTTCAGGGCATAAAGCGATAAATAAAATTTTTTACGCATGCACTTTATTTTTATCATTAATATTAATTTTTTTATTAGTATTGGCAGTTAATATAATGTTTCTATCAGTTAATCATGATAGGTTGCATTTAGAAACAGTATTTGCTTCTCTTACAACTGTAAGTTATTTTAAACTCTTCGAGTAAAAAAAGAAAATTATTCTATTTGTTCGTATCATTAAGAATATTTGTATTACTTGACGTACATTAATCAATGTGTTTGATAATTTTTCGAAATTATAGAAAAAATGTATACAAATGATAAATATATATATTTATATAAAATAAAACTAGGAATTATTTTTTTATTTCACAGAATATTAATTATGGTCAAAATGAATTAAAATTGGCTAAATATATATTATTTATATTATTAGTTTTATGTACATATTAAATATCTTTTTCATTCCGACCGGTAATAAATAAATTTACCATTTATCATATAAAATTTATAATTGCAAATTAATCGTAGCAAAAAATCAGTGAAATCTTATAAAAGATTAATTATTATATTTAGTTGGCATAAAGACGATCATCATTTTTGATATTGCAAAGTTATCTTAATATAATGTATCATTATATTATTTTTAAATTTTACTGCTTTATCTAATCAATAATTTAGATAAAAAGAATTTATTAAATATTTTTAGACTATTTCAGTATTGTAGATAAAATAGAATCTCTAAAATTTAATAAATATTTTGCTTTATAATTACCGAGTTACATTTAAACATTTTTGTTTCAATTAGATTGTTTGTATAAAGATGTTGTAAAAAAAAAAACATTATTTCAAAATGAATATAAATAATTTTGAAACACAAGTTTTATGATGTTGCATATAATTTTTTTTTATCTTTTTTAATCGATAAGAGTTATTTTATTGATATACTAAAAGAAAATAAAATAAAATTCATTTGGATAGACGAGAATCGATTGTGAATAAGTAAGCGAAGGACTTTACCAGCCGTATTATTAATAAAAACATTAATCACATGCATGTACGCATTACAATATTATTCTTACTATTATTTTTTTAATTAGAAAATTATTAATATGAATAAATATGAATATTATGAATGTATATATTATATTCTGTACTAATCTTTGTTATTTTTCTTCTTTTTTTTTCTTCCTGAACCTACTGTAATAATAATTAATATAAACAATTCCTCTAACTACAATTCCAATGCATAATAATAAAATGTTAATTCTTTTATATATGGAAATTTAAAAAAAAATTTAAAGGAGAGTAAGGTTGGTGAAAAAAAAAAAAAAAAAATTTCAACAATATTTAAGGTTTAATGCAATTAACGTTCATCAAAAATTTAATTCAATTTTGATTCGACCTAAATTGAAGGGTATTTTATTTTATTTTTAAAGTAAAATTATGAATTGGACTAAGACAAAACAATAATAATAAAATGTACTTTCTCATATGAATTTAGGAATTGAACTTTTAACAAACTTTTATAGCTTGCAAACCGTTTACTCATCAAATTATTAATAATGTTACCGATGCGCGTTGGTCCGTGTAGTTGGTAATCTCGGATCTAAAGGTAAAATTTTTCAACTTATTATAACTTTGAGCATGGGCTTTTGGAAATTTTGTTTTTATTTATTTTATAAGAATACATAAGCACCATTATTCACCTTCTTATCATGAAAACAATGAGAAAGCAAAATTGCAATGAAATTATACTAAAAGTCTGCGAGCGATTAATAATTATTTAATTCATTTAGCCATTAACAATAATTTTCATATAGTTAGACTTTGCGTTTATGTTATGATTATTAACAGCGACGACACCTTCATTACAAATAGCAATTTAAATAAACATTTGTATGTGAAAATAGTGCAATTTAGCTAAATCCAATGTATTATTCACGTACAACATTTAACGTGCAATGCCTGCATAATGCATTGTTATGAGAATTGCAATTAAAAATTCTTTTAACGATCTGTCGGATGACGGAGTTTTGCAGTGAACTACTGTGCCATAATCTTCACAGAAACAAACATTCATTGAGCAAAGTGACCATAGTGGGCTCCGATATGGTAGGAACCGCTTGTCTCAATATATACAGACTGTCCTGTCTTTGAAATAAGTAGTTTCCTACTATATCTTGTAGACTATTGGCTCTGACCAAGTTATTAATAATGTTACCGATGCGTTGTACTCCGTTAGAGTTTGTAAACTCGGAGTGGCGGATATACCTTTTCGCTTTACTTGACCTTATGAATAATTCGTAGTTTTAATGAATGTACTCAATGGGAATGGAGTAAGAGAATAGAATCCAATGAAACGAGATATGCAATTAAATACTGTAATGTGTAAAAATAATAAGAAAAAATCGGCAATATAGATGAATAAATACGCCTTTGGTAAAAGTTTAATTATCCTTCAAAGGCTAAAATTTTTATTTTTAATATACATTTGCATTTGGCAACACTGCTTTTTTATTGTATAACTATTAATGATGACTAAATATTTTCATTAATTTAGCTTGCCGATTTTTTTGCGATTTATAGAAGAATCCTGTAAATGAATGCAATACCATGAATAATAATATGTATTGTTTGCTTATTAAAAAATAATGTTAATATAATATTTATGAAAGGAGATCGGCGCTTATTGGATTATATATTCCCGAAAGCCTGAAAGAAGAAGCTTTTCTTTTAAATTCGCGCATAAATTTGGATTTACAGTTAATCATTAATTAATGCATATAATCAGTGGTATATCACACGATTATAGTTGCTCAATTTTTCTAGAAAGTAGAGTAATTAATTAAATGAATTGGTATTAGTGACAAAAAAAATAATATAATGAAAAATTACATAATAATTTACGAAGTTGTACTTTAGTAAACAATCGTCATAGTAGCGCCTATTAATAAATAAATCAATCAATCAATCAACAAAAATAAAAAAAAAAAAAAATAAAAAAATAAAAACCGAAATAAAAAAATATAGAGAAAAGAGAGAAAAATCGAGCACAATACGTGTTTACCAAAGCTTAAACGCGATGCAATTTGAAGTCTTTGAGGCTGCGCGATAAATCAGCACTATTTACTTTCAATATCGAAATGAATTCATTCGTGGCAGGCGTCTCAGCATTTTAATTCATAGGAATTAATTGATGGCGAGGCAATGGCAAGGCCGGGAATAATAACAATGCCCGAGAAATACTTGTTGAATGAAATTAAGCTAACGCATGCGTATCTCTCTGTTTTTCAAACCTCGGCATTTCCAATAATTCAAAAGCCCTGGTCACTGCAGTAGGCGGGCGCGGGCGAGAGGGAGAAAAACGATAATAAGATAAAGAATGTGGCAGGGAAACGTTAACTGGATAAAGAACGTAGTCGTGCCATTGGCCGAGTATAGTACGAAAGCCGTATTCATAGTCGTAACGAATCCAGGCTAGTTATTTTCATAATTTCCATTGACGTACCGTCGGTCATTATAATTTTTACGACCAATGGCTCGGAACAGCTCGGGCAAAAAATTAATTCGCAATATTAAAAGGATTGCGAGCAAGTGCTTGGCGCGTCACGTCCATATTATTAGCCTTATAATTTACGATATTATAATTAACGAATGCACCTTAATCGCGGCATATCGAGCAAATATTTATCTGCTTTCGGGCTTTCGACGTGCGCCTATAAATAGACGGAGTTCCTTTAGAAATGTGCGAATAAACCGTTTTGCAAAATTATTATCTCGAAACTAATAGGCTAATTTTCCGTCCGTCCGTCCGTCGTCAAAGGCTTGAGTAATAATGTGACCGATAAAATTAAAAACATTCTTTAAGCTAAATCTATAAGAACGAATTGTACTTTTATTGCCCATTTCGATAGTATATTTACACACTAAACATACAATGCAAAAGTATTAACGCAAGCATAAAATTTGGTTAAAAAAAAAAAAAAAAAAAAAAAAAAAAAAAAAAAAAAAAAAAAAAAAAAAAAGCCATAACAATTTATGCATTTCTTACAAAGTGTTCGTTACAAATAACTCTCTTTAAAATAAATACTTAATAAGCATTTGATAGGCGATTGATAATGATGGTATTGTGCATTACGTAACACTGCAATACGGATAAATTAAGTAAGCTTTTCACTAATTTCAATTTGACTGACAATTATCACTACTAAGAAGTAGCTTTGAGATATTTCTTATTAAAAGCGTGGCTGAAGGCAGAAAGAGGGGCGGATTGACGGACGGTGGCGGGGGGAGGGGGAGGGGGAGAGGGAGGGGAGGGGGGTGGGGAGGAGAATAAATAAAGGAAGGGAACGACAAGTCCAGGTCCAATTATCGATTACCCTTGGTGCGAAATGGGCGATATGAAAAAAAAGAAGCCGAGGTAGATCGTAAAAACAGTTTTCACCCTTGGCGCCGCTGCTGATGAATTTATTTGCTTCTTGCCATTGCCTGTAAGATCGCGCCTATAATTATGAGGGAACGAGTGCACTAACGATAACCCTATTTATCTTATTTCTTGGTCTTGTCGTTTTGCTCGGCCGTGCGCTCAGTCGACATAATGAGCTGGTTGACGTGAAAAATAAACAGCCTGCCAGTCAACAGGATCATCGTCAACGGTGCCAACATGGACACCGCTAGATTTAGTTATGTGTGTGTGCGTGTGCGTGTGCGCGCTTGGAAATCGCCTGGGAGTGGCGTCCAAGTCCTTGCAGCATTTCATTGCCCATAGTCAAGGTGATTCGCTCGATTTTATCGAACACTAAACCGTGACCTCGAGATCTTCTATGCTGCGCCAATTGGTGGACGCTGCTATTCCTTTTCTTCTTCGTT